TATGCATTTTCTTATTTTTCCTGAACTCAGCCAACTCCAAGAACAAATATTAAATATAAAATATGAGCAATTTAATTATATATTTAATGTCACAGATTGGAGTTTTTAACATTCTTGGTGTTAATAACATTCTTCTTCCAAAAATTTCATACTTTTTTTGTCTGAATATTTAAATTACTAAAGAAAAGACACATTCTAGGTAATTTTGTTTTTAACACAGTTCCAAACGTGCGTACAACTTTTACTTTTCATCAGAAGATTAACTCAACTCGATTGTTTGAAAATTATGAAACTTCATCATTTAAATTTCGTTCTCGACGATACAATCAAATTCAACAAATGCTCTGCTTAAAAGAATTGAAATCATCAAGAAATGAAAGAAGAAATTTAGAATTTGCAGATGGATCACCAAACTCCTGCACACTCTGACGATGATGAACTCAAAAGTGCCTCCAAATATTCATCACCCAAATCCTCTAAAACCAACAAATTTTCTGCCTTTGATTCTTTAATTTTCTTCTTTTTAATCCCTAAATTTTTCCTCATTGAATGTCTTTTCTTCAATGCAATTACTGGAGAACACCCTTCTTCAAATCTATACTTCATTTCTTGAAGTGATTCCATCACTCTCTCCACCGGAAAATTGAGCACCGCCGCCGCACCCCTCATCGAAAACGCTGCTTGATCATACGCCAAGGCGGCTGCCTCCGCGGAATCGAACGTCCCAAGCCAAACCCTGACTCCATTCCTAGTTGAATCCCTAATCTCCGCAGCGTATTTCCCCCACGGCCGCCGTCTCACACCTCTGTATGATTTTTCCTTCTCCAGTACTTTTTTCACACTTGAGGTGACTTCTTCCTCTTTAAAGCTTCCGGCAGCGGAATTGGATTCCGACGACTCCCTTACGGTGGCGCCGCCCTCTGCTAGCACACCAAAAAGGAGCATTTCTTCGGAATCGTTGACGTTAAACGAAAGCGAATTTTGATCGAAAAGAAAATTATCCCACAATTCTAAGGAATATTCTGGTGAGTTTTG